TACCTGTCTTTATTTATACATCTACCTCTTTGTAATTCTAGCCTTCTAGATCTCTACTTCTCCATTAAAAATATTGTTGGTCTTTTGAGCGGTCCAAATCAATATTCATCACATCTTCTGTATCTGGCTTGCTTTTAGATGTTTTCCTATCAACATTGCTTTCTGTCTTTCTCTCATCCTTTCTCTCATGTGTGCCATTTATTTCTCTCCCCCCCCCCCCCCCTCCCCCCTCAATGCTGGGTCGACCTGAGATTAAAGGTCATTAAAAAAAATGTCACTTTGTCACAGTGGCACCCATAAATTATGCTATTCAGTTTATAATGCCGTTTTCATCTGGGTGTCCCAGAAGTTTTCATACATAGAAAAAATAAGCAGATCACCAACAACACTACAACACAGGAAGCCACAGTGGTAGAGCGGCTAGAAGCTTGCCTTCGGATTCGAAGGTCGTTGGTTCGAGCCCTAACGGAACAGGGCTTATTTTTTTTTTAGAAAGGACTTTCTTTTTCAGCTCGACCCAGGGTACGAAGATATAGTCCTGGGAAGTATAGGTTTCTGGCGCGATATTAACTACACCGCACACCCGAGTGCTGAATGGTCTATAAAATATATGTCTAGCCCTAAAGGTATAATACGTCTGAAGGCGTGTAAAAAGTCCTTTACTTTTATATTACAGGTATAACTCCAGCTGTACTTCTGTCTGTTCTTCAACAGCGGTGAATCGAAATGTGTTTTTAAAAACAACCCCAACCAATCAGAGCATCATATTATATAAATAAATATGGTTTAAAAAAAAAAATATTTATTACATTTTCTTTGTATGAATACTTGTAGGGATACCCATAACTGTACTTGTGCAACCTGAAAACATGACCAACATCATCATCATCGTAGTCTGACAACACTGCGTGTCGCTGGGTCTCCATGTTGCCTGATCAGCTCTCTCCAGCTGTGTTGGCCAGATACAATGGACTCAATGTCTGCATGTTTGAGGTTTGTCCAACCAGTCAGTATACGAGTCTTACTTGGTCTCCGCTTCTCCTATACCAGGGGTTCTTAACCTGTGGGTAGCGATATTAGAAAGGTTGAGAACCATTGCTTTATAGGAAGCCCTGTAGTATCCTTTGGGAGAGATTGCCGGATCTTGTTTTATGTCTGTACCATTGCATGTCGCGCCTTTTTACTGTTGATAAAAGAGATTCCTAGCAACACGAAGTGGCTTCATTGCATCGGCAACCGGTTGACTCATTGGCTCGCCGGTAGACGACAGTATTTGGGTTAGTCTCTTTTGAACGCATCAACACTGCATTAATCCTTTGTAGGGTTTCTGGTGGCGTGCAGTACTAAGGCATAATACATGGCGCACATAGCCTAGTCACAATTATAACCTAAAGCTCTCCCTTCAGGCATTCTGGCTGAACGTGAAGATTTTTTTCCCCGTCAAAACATCTACTTGAAGTGGCTTATTTATTTTTTGGACAGTAGAACTTTAAATATAATTCAGAACACTCAGCAGTTTCTCATTATGTGTTCGTTTACCTGGAAAATGGGGGAAACGAAACTCGCCATTTTATAGTTTGTGTGTGTGTGTTTTTTTTTTAAAATACACATACCTTTGCACATAATATGTTTTTACATATTTAAGATATAAATTTATACAAATCTTAAAAATAAATGTAGCATTAAAATGTTTCAAAAAGTGTAGACTTGCATTTCTTCCTTTTTCTTCTTCTTGAAGTCCATGCCGTGTTGCGTTGGTAGTCATGTCTATCCACACCTCTCTGTCTCGTGTACTTTTAGTCAGTTCTGACACACATGATCCTCCATGCACTGATGCACAACAGCTCAGTAGCTTCTCACTGGGTCTCCCTCTATGTCTCTCTTTCCCTCCAGCTTTCCTACTGTCACAATGTGCTCCACGATTTCTTCCTTGGCGTGGCCACAGTTGTGTTGTTTTGTTCTAGTCTGATGTTACCTGTCATTCTTGCAGCTCAATTTCATTTATTTTTGCATGAGATCATTTCTGTAGTAAATCAAAATACAGCAGGGTGTAGAATAAATTGAAGCAAGGGAAATAATACACACAGGCTGATATATAACAAAATGTTAGTTGCGTACCCTGTACAGGACGTTGCAGAACCAACCCCCGCATTGGCTGCTTCGGTTTTTCTAGGCAAATTTACGTCTAGTAATTTGCCATTTCTTTCTGGACAGTCAATTTCTCGATACCACTGTCGAAACCAACGCATGGCACACGGCCCGCAGCTGGGATCAAGCCCAGCACCCCGGCATTGCGAAGCGCGTGCGCAACGCCTTAGCCTCAAACGCCGAAACAGGTTGATATACAAATATATTATTAAAAAAAAAAAAATGGTTAGAGCTCTAGATAGCAGCCAGAATATGACAAACCGATTCATCCAAAGCAATGATATACACAGTTTCGCTTAAAATTAGATAATTTGGAGAAGGGGCTTTGGGTAAACGGTTGTTTACGAACCCTAGGGTGACCTAATATAACTTTGTTTGCTGCTGAAGTGCAGCTTTCTTTGTTCAAAACGTTTGGTAGCGTCTTTCCTTTGGAGTAAGCCATGCAGGCCCCATGGTTAGCTAATCCGTCATTCAAATATGGGGCGCAGTTTTTGTTTTTTAAAAGCCTCCCGCCGGCTGTAGCCAGGGGCCCTAGTATAACTTAACGACCAAAAGGGGTTTCTGGGACTTGTGCCCAGATGATCCACATCCGAATGGTGGCACCTTGAGTCACCGTACGTTGGTAGCTCATGTACTGTCGTGATTAGGTTGAACGACCAAGGTAAGGCAGGCTGGGAGAGGTATCATGCTGCAATGGCAACACATTTCAGAGGAGCTGAAATCCCATGCTCTAAATGTGGAAGGTTTCTCTAAACTCCGGCGGGTCTTTTTAGTCACAGTCGCTAAGGGCTGATTCACATGACACCCAATAGCTCAGTAAAACACTGTCCTATGAAAAGACGGACAAGTGGCAACGAGAAACGAGGATGCGGTTGAACGGGGTTTCTGGGACTGGTTGATACTGGATTCTTCCAAAATCCAAGGGAAACAAATGAAGAAAAAAAAAGGGGGAGGGGGGATTGGGGGGGGGGGTGGAGGGGGATGGGGGGGGGGGAGAGACATAATTAGTACAGCTTGGTATGAAGTCATATAATCTGTAGCAAGGGATGTCATGAGTACATTTTGGTGTTGAATAAGGCAATTTAAAGAAAAAAAAAGTGAACATTTTAGTATGGTGAAGGTTCAGTTAAGAATCAACACCATACCACTCCGGACATTCCCATAAGTGCTCCGTCCCGATCTTCACCAGCAAGCAAGGAGTTCCAGTTCCAATGATATCAGTAACTTGCCGTTTATTCAGGTAGATATGTAGTTGTACCCCACCAGGACATCACACAAGCGATAAACACCCGATGACACAAAGTGCCACCATGCGGATGATGATCACCCGTGGAGAGGTCCCAGAAACACCTTTCAGCCGTTAGGCCGTATCTATAGCTAGGCCATATCTATGCCCCGGCTATATTCAGATCCCCCGGAAGAAGCCACGGTGAGTCTTTAAACAACACAAAATTGCATTCCACATGGGAACGAACTGATTGTTTATCGTCTCCACTTGACTTTGAATGTTGAGCATCGGACAGATCCAATGGTAAACTATTTTTTTTCCAAACAATTTTTTTTCTATTCAGCTTTAATAAGCTTATCTCCACATCGGACCGCAGGTTACTTGTATCTACAGGGGCGCCCCATTATAAATGGTACATCTTTTCCCCCCAAAACGAAGTCTAATAATAATTCTTTGTATGGGCTGAGCTGTTGCTCCTAATTTACATTGTTTTATTGTGATTACCAAGTGCAAAGTTCGCCATGTCTTATATCCTCATTATGCGTGCTAATACGCACGAGTGTCCGTCACTCTGTGTATGAACTTGTGGCCCGTATGCGAGGAACTTTAATTTACTGAAGTTATTAGACACTCAGAAAGGATGAAATCCGAAGGAAAATAAGGGTAACAACAGCTATGGATTAAAAAAAATAAATTATTAAACAAGTGGAATGATTGGCCATATAACGTGGATGTCAGCAAACAGTATACCACAGCAAGCAATGCCTTATAGACCTGGTGGGAAGAGAGAATAACAGAGTTCCTTGGAATCTCTATTTACAAACCGCACAAACGAGAACTTTCCCGTAACTTATACTTCACATAGACACCCCAAAGTACAAACGGACCACGATGAGATGAAACGATGACTTGGTGTACTTCCGGAGTTATCGCTGAGTGGCTTCATGTTGGTCCCCTAAGACGCCTCCTATTTCCCGTAGCGTGAAGTCGACCCCTACAACTTCACAACATATGGGACAAAATGAATGAATAATAATAAATATGAATTAATATGATATGACACATGACACAGCACCTGCATGCAAGTTAGAATAAAATATTGAGATCAATCATCTCTTCTGTGACAGCCTAGGTATGTTGGTCACGGACTTTTACTTAGTCATCGCGCAAAAAATTCAAAAAAAAAAAAAAAAAATCAAAATCGGAGCTTGTGAACTTAAATGCTACAGACAATATTTTTAGAATTCCATACACCAAGAATAAGAAAACATTGACATCCTACATGACACTAGCATTGAGGAGAATTGGCTCATAAACAGCACCCTGTTCCGAAAGCTGAGGTATTTCTGTAAAGGACCTTCTGATTGATAATGATAATGGTATGACATAAAAAAATGTGAAAACGAACGTGATATATATGTATATATTATGCGAATAGTAACAATACAAGTAATTAATCCAGTTCTTCGACTGAGTAACTTTGCTTTTTTAAATTATATATTAAATGTTTCGATTGCCACATTGTCCAGACAGACTGTTTAAGGGTTAACTGCCTTCATTAGCTGGCAATCAACCACTCTGCATTTGTAGGATGCGAATTCTTTCAGCTAGGTAGTCTTCACTGTCAAAAAATCTCTGCGTTTCCACCTTTCCTTGTCGAATTCCGAGGGTAACCATTCACGTGACCGTTATGCGGATGCTTTCCTAGTTGAGAAATCTGGTGCAGGCTTGGGACTCGTTCATTGAACTCTGACCTGTCCTCTGTGTCTTCATCGACGGGGTGGTTTCTCCAGCTGAGGTAGCCACCTGTAAACAGAGAGGAAACAAAAGCTTGGTTTAAAACTATTTTGATAATTCTAGAAAATTTTCCATTGCACACTGACCCTCTTGAAAACTTAGCCTCATAAAATGGGTTCCAGAAATTGTAGTCGGTAAAGTTCAGTTTGGCCACACGAGCCAGTATGTGCTGGTTGGTCACTAAATATATGGTTATTTAGTCATAGTGTTTCCTCTTAAGACTTGGGTGGCGCATAGGGCAGAGGTCATAGCTGTCCATATCTTTCGGTTCGTTGCCGTCAAGATATATATTCACGCAGCCTGCAGTGGGTTTCGATAGTGGTACGTGGGAATTACGAGTCGGATTCGCAACGCTAAGCCACGGACACCGTTTCAGATTTAAGTTTAAACAAAAAATTTATATTAATTAGGCCCAAGTTTAAACCTTCCCAGATGATGGCTGAACGAAGCGTCAAAACACTTAGAGCTAGAAGTATGATTCTAAAACAGAGGATGTTTTACGATGGCGGCTTGTCGGGACGTCTATCAACAGTCTTAAATCAAGCGAGAGGGAAACACTACCTGCCATCTTACTAAACATATGGTGCTAACATTTTACTATGGATAATTTGTTTTATAAACAAAGCGTAGCTTATTTAGTATATTAAACTTACTTTGCTTTGCTTTGGTTTTATTTTAAAAACATATAGAAAAGTTTAAGAGATTTGATGCGTGTGAACTCTTTTAACACCGAACAATTCATCGTAGGTTTCCTGGTTACTCTTGGCAAGAAAGCAAAGTTAGTACAGATCCCTTTTCCCGCCTTTAGGGGCATCGGGCATATAGGAAGAGCACCCATATTTTTATTGACCAATCGGCACTAGGTGGGTAATGTGGTCAGCATTACACCAGCCGTCTTTACTTCGCCAAGACATACATCCTTGTACCCATTTTATGCCTGGGTCGACCTGCGACGCCCCATACCATGATAAAAATCCACGCAGCCAGCAGTGGGTTTCGATCGCCGTACGTTGGATTACGAGTCGGACTCGCAACGCCTAAGCCACGAACGCTCCCTTTACAAGATATGCCTTTTTCAAACCTCCTATTCGTAATAAAGGTAACTGTGGAGTTCCGATGGGTGGAAACAATCTCAGCCACACATGTTGTCATAGTGTCGGATTCTCGAAACGTGCTCAGGAAGGTGGAGTCTTGAATTAGTTAGTCTAATTAGTTAGCCTTTCCTCTTGAGCCTAGGGTGGTGCATATGGCAGAGGTCATTGGTCTCCATGTCTGGCGGTTTGTTGCCACCTGTTGTAGGTCTTGGATGTTTGTTAGGCTCATTGTTGAGCCTTTCTTGATGATGGTTCTACCCTAGGTATCTCTTCGTCTTCCCCGTTTTCTTTTCTCTTCGTTTGGAATGGATTACATCAATCCAGAGGTGGCAAGTGGTTAGTCACGTGGATATTTTCCCCAGGTATTTAGGTGTGTTTGGCAAAGCAGGCAGATAGGCTTGCTGGAATGGCCTCATTTGTGGGTGTACTGCAGCTGTACAAGGCGGAGGTGACCTGAAACCTGTGAGACAGGGTAGCAGGCGAAACGGAAGATAATGAAAATTCAAACCTGAAGAGAATGATGTTGTTTGCTTTGGGCTCCACTCGAAACTCATAGGGAAGACAAGACGAGTAGTTAACCAGTGACAACGGTTACCATCAAGATGAAAACTACTAGCTGTCTGTTTAAGATAGAGGCAGCGCCAATATTGGCTTGTCATGAATGTTGTGATGTCGAATCCTTACCCAGAGGACCCCAGCGGATTCTTCATTAGGCAGACGAATTACCTAATTCAATTCCAATATTTACGGCAAATCTTGTTCTACTTTAATGTTACTTTTTAATCCATTCAGACTAAAATAAAAGGTATGTAGGATATTACAAGGAATAGTAATAATACCTGCGTATAACTGCATGCAAAGGATAGAATGACGGTGTGAGTGGGTTGAGGGCCTTTGTTCCATTGAGGGATAGGTTGGCAGATGAAGAAGTGACAATACTCATTAATAAAACTATACAAAATACAATCTTGTATTCTCTGCGACAGTACTTTCCACATAAACAAACCCCATTGTCTCAATGAAAGTACTTCTCATAAATATCTCTCTGCCTCAATGCCAGTACTTCTCTTATAAATATCTCTCTAAATTCCAGTACTTCTCATAAAAATAAACCTCTGTCAATGCCAGCACTTCTCATATAAATATCCCTCTGTCTCAATGCCAGTATTTCTCATATAAATATCTCTTTGTCTCAAAGCCAGTACTTTTCATATAAATATCCCTTTGTCTCAATGCCAGCACTTCTCATATAAATATCCCTTTGTCTCAATGCCAGCACTTCTCATATAAATATCCCTTTGTCTCAATGCAAGTACTTCTCATATAAATATCCCTTTGTCTCAATCCCAGTACTTCTCATATAAATATCCCTTTGTCTCAAAGCCATTGCTTCTGATATAAATATCTCTCTGTCTCAAGCCAGTGCGTCTCATATAAATATACCTCTGCCTCAATGCCAGTACTTCTCATATAAATATCCCTCTGTGTCAATGCCAGTACTTCTCAAATAAATATACCCCTGTATCGATGCCAGTACTTCTGATATAAATATCTCTATGTCATAATTCCAGTCAGTACTCACCGACAGCAATACATACGAAGAGACAGCCTCCTACCCCTGGAAGTATTGGGGCCCAGAGCAGTTGGTAGGCTTCAGCTTCCAACATGGTGATGTATATAACAACAGCTATGGCAGCGGAAACTCCTGTATATAGCAAACGGAAACATATGAGGCATATAAATGAGTCCTGATGTCAGACACAATTTATTGTTGTTTTGAAGCCCCCCCCCCCCCCCCGGCTGTTGCCGGGGGCACTAATGTAACCCAACCTGTGGTTTGAACGGGTTTCTAGGACTTGCCCCGGGTGATGTTTATCCGAATGGTGGCACTTTGTGTCAACAGGTGTTTATCGCTCGGTGTGATGTCCTAGTGGGGTTGAACAACAGTCAGTCAGGCAGTGCACTTCAGTGCAGGTAGAGAACTGTGTTTAAGTAGCTTCCTTTTCTTTTTCTGCTGCTGCTGCTGCTGCTGCTGCTGCTGCTGCTTCTTCTTCTTCTTCTTCTTCTTCTTCTTCTTCTTCTTCTTCTTCTTCTTCTTCTTCTTCTTCTTCTTCTTCTTCTTCTTCTTCTTCTTCTTCTTCTTCTTCTTCTTCTTCTTCTTCTTCTTCTTCTTCTTCTTCTTCTTCTTCTTCTTCTTCTTTTCTTCTTCTTCTTCTTCTTTCTTCTTCTTCTTCTTCTTCTTCTTCTTCTTCTTCTTCTTCTTTCTTCTTCTTCTTCTTCTTCTTCTTCTTCTTCTTCTTCTTCTTCTTCTTCTTCTTCTTCTTCTTCTTCTTCTTCTTCTTCTTCTTCTTCTTCTTCTTCTTCTTCTTCTTCTTCTTCTTCTTCTTCTTCTTCTTCTTCTTCTTCTTCTTCTTCTTCTTCTTCTTCTTCTTCTTCTTCTTCTTCTTCTTCTTCTTCTTCTTCTTCTTCTCCAACATTCCGAACACTTGAGGTTCATTGCTGGAAATATCACACGTCTCCATTTATCTCTATGTTTGGCCTTCTCTTTCCAGTTGGTAACACTAAGTGTTTGTAGATCTGTCTGGATATTATCTCTCCATCGTCTTTTTGGTCTGCCTCATGGTCTACGACCACTCAGCTCCCTTGTGTATTCAGTTTTTACCTCTGTCGTCTGGAATTCTCTATTTCAGTTTATTTGCTATGATCACGATGCTAGTGATCTACGCTGATTTATACAGATTATGAATTTCGTTGCTGCTTCTCACTTCCATTCCCTGCTGTTGATTGACCGGCTTAATCTTCCCGAATATATAATAACTGACACGCTTAGAGATTGTTGGGAAATCTGTTCCCACGAGCAGCAATGTGTGGTGATTATTTTTTTTTAGAGTTTAATGCGGGGGATGAGCACCTGAGAGTGAAACACTAAAGAAACGCATGCGATCTGATGTTTTGAAAAAGTCCTGTTTGGGGTTGTGAACAACGGATCAACATTTTGACACACGGGTAGTAACCCATAAGTGCCCCGTTCTTATTTTAACTCAAGTCTGAATCCGAAGAAGCTCAGCACAGTGCACAGGCTCTGTAACACCGGCGAGGATCCTGAAATACTTTGGGTAGATTTTCAACTCTAAATTTTGCCCTGGCAGCACCTTTAGGCTACTTTTTTCGATTTCCAACTGCCAAGGGATTTTTTTTTACGTGCGCAACAATGCACACGGGCGTCCGATCTCACTACCCAGAGACCAGTGGAAATTGTTAGAAGTCCAAGTCCGCGTGAAAAAATCCCCGGCATTGAACCCAAAACCGCTAGCACTCGACGCGGGCACCATGCCTTGAGACCACACAGTCCCATAGTTCATGTTAGTTAAATGTAAGCATGCTGATTATTTGCTTATAAATCGGCGTGTATGTGTGTGTGTTAAGTTCATAAACTGCAAACTAATAAACATTAAAACTAGATGTTTGTTTATATTAACACAAGTTATTACAAGGACATTATTAATAAAATGTTGCATGCCAGATTTGAACAGTCTACACCGAACAAGTATAAAAGTTGGACGCTAGTTCTGGAACGGACGTGAACCTATATTTTCAAGGAGGTGTGACCGTAGAGTTTGAAGCCCCACCCTGGCTTCCGCCCGGTGGGGGGAGGGGGGGGGGCTAAGTTTAGCTGGGCCATAAATATGGCTTAGGCTATAGATATGGCCTAACTGCTGAAAGGGGTTGCCGGGACCTCTCCAGTGGTAATCCTCATCCGCATGGTGGCACTCTGTGTCATCTGGTATTTATCGCTTATGTGATGTCCTGGTGGGGTACAACTTACCTACCTACCTACTTTCTGGAACAGACTATAGTCAGAAGTGCACTAGTTAGGACGAAGTGGCAAGCATGGCTTTAGTGATACCTTGTGGTTAACGTGTTTTGGATTTTTTTCCCTTTCAAGGGTGCAGGTGGTGTGGAAAATGAACGGGCAGGCAGATTGGCTAGTTCTGAACTAAGCGGTTGTGAATTTATGCATGACAAACTAGACAGGTCGTGTCCCTTTGGGTGCAAATGAACGATGCGGAGGCGCGAACAGATACATTTAGTCTGGAGAAATACTATAGCTAGGAGTGACCAGGAGAATCTGGTTGACACTCTACACTCAGAGGAAAGGCGAGACGGACATTCAATCAAACTGCTACTGGCGACATTGGAATTGGAATTCGTAGCTGGCTGCCGAAGATGCAGAAGGAGATTTCAAATTATTTTAATTTAGAGTTATAGTACAGCAAAACATGGTTCTTTATCAATGTCTACCCAAGATGACGTCCCAGGACAGCGACAAATTTTAGAGGGTGGTAAGACCGGGTTTCCCGTCTTTCCGATGCTTTTAACAACCCCAAAACATCTAGAACTGGCTCTAAACCCAACGCACATCTCAGGAGAGAGTGCAACTTAGGTCCCACGAATGCATGCAGCCTTGGTTCCACGACTGCCCGCAGCCTATCTACCACCCCCTGAAATATTAGACTGTCCCATGACCTGTGGATTTCACCTGTTTGGGGTAGGATATTCATATAGCACCCAATGCATTTCAATACATTACTACTATTTTTTTGTTTTTGAAGTTTATGTTGATCATTTGTAAAATTGAATACAGTGTAGGTGTATTATTTACTTTCCAAGGATTCTATTTTAGATATCGCCAGAAGCCAATATTGAAATCACGTTACTGTACATTGGATTAAGAGATTTCTCTTCCGATCCGATTTTTTAGCTAAAAATAAAAATCCTCACGTTTAACCAGCATCCACAAAGGGGGACCTTTAGGTTATAAATGTGACCAGGTTATGTGCGCCATTTATAATGGCTTAACATTGCTCGCCACAAATGACCCTGAAAAGGACTCTTGCAGTGCTGATGCGATCAAAGAAGACTGACCCATATACTATCCCGACCGGCGACGAAGCCGCCTACCGGTGAGCAAATGAGCGACCCGGTCGCCGATGGCGGTTTTTGTTATCTGTATTTCAGTTATACATTCCAGCCCTGTTACAGACAATGGCGGTTTATCGAAATTATACCATATTTGTTAATCCATTTCACATTTGTTTCAAATATATTATTATACCTGTCTTGCTATTTAACACGTTACTACTACTACTACCAACACCACCACCCCCACTACTACTGCTACTACTACTGCTACTGCCACTACTACTACTATTACTGCTACTACTACTACTGCTACTACTACTACTACTGCTACTACTACTACTACTACTTCTACTACTACTGCTACTACTACTACTACTACTTCTACTACTACTACTACTGCTACTACTACTACTACTGCTACTGCTACTGCTACTACTACTGCTACTACTACTAATATTACTTCTACTACTACTACTACTACCAACACCACCACCACCACTACTACTTCTACTACTACTACTACTGCTACTACTACTACTACTACTACTACTATTACTGCTACTACTACTACTACTACTACTACTACTACTACTACTACTACTACTACTACTACTACTACTACTACTACTACTACTACTACTACTACTACACCTTAAACAAAGCTTAGACCTTTCAGCCCACTTAGAAAATAAGGAAGGTGCCCACATCCGATCAATATGTGTGTTTATGTATGGGGGGGGGGGGGGGGGTGGTGGAAGGGGTGCCACTGTGTCACATTAATAAGCCACACACGCTATATTCAAAATGGTTTGGCACAGCTACAGACAATTAGTCCTACTCTTACCTGCCATAGCCGAAAACGTCAAATATGCTGCCTTGATGTGGATACGTCGCCATGACGGCCTTAGCACCAGTACGATAATTTTGATAATGTAAAGAACGATGCAGATGAAACCGGCGCAGAACGACGGTATAATGAAAGCCCTGGCCACAAGCAGCAGTGCAGGGACATCCGTGAGATCTGTAAATATAGGCATACATAGTACATTATTGAAAGAGTGCAATGGAAGCATATTGTTTAACACAGTTATACTATAGCGACAAAAAACTAGTTGACGGGGAAGTCCGTACGCCTAAAAAGTATCGTTGACCCCTGATGTAAAGGAACTGTCACTTGATTAGTTGAGCTCTAAAGTATTCGGTACTCATCAGGAACCTGCCCGCATGACTCGATTTCAGCCCCCTCCTGGTCCCACGGCCTGTCCTGTGTTGTAGGGGTGTGCATAAATTCCTTTGTGTGTGTGTGTGTGTGTGTGTGTAACGGTTTAACCGTTCTCTCTTTTCTCGTGTTATCAACGCTTACTTGAGTGATTATTTCCACGTTGTGTTATTTGCCCGACGGTTCGTAAGTATGAAAACATGGATGTTTTTATATTTCTACATTCCTTTTCAGTGGATTTTTTTCTTTTCTTTTTTTTTTTGTTTTGGGAGAAATTCATCGCCAAAGAACGTAGAAATACAAAACGCATCCCAGTTTCAATAATCGCGAACAGTCGCGTCTTCGGCGCTTTCACTTACAATACTTCTTACTTGTACACTTGCGCCTGCAGAGCCTCAAAGAGACTCACAACAACACCCCTCCCATAAACCTTATATACGGCCAGCGAACTCCAAAGAAAGCCATTTCATAACACCCCCACAACATAGGACAGGCCTTACGACCAACCGGGGTATCATGGGAGAGAAGGAACTCTCGCTGTGCGGGCAATATCGTGATAAGTTTCAAGTATTCGTGGGAGCATTATGAGCAATTCCACTCGTTATACATTACATAGATGTTGAATGTCAAAATATGGTGAAGCATCCATTATCCATATATTTAAAAGGCACATGTAACTAAACTTTTAAATGATATTTATAATCGTGGATATATTCCAAATGACCTTTTAAAATCCATATTTATAGCTCTGCCAAAGAAACCAGGCACTATAAAATGTGAAGACCATCGCACAATAAATCTCAAGAGTCACATGACTAAGATTTTACTGAGAATAATTATGAGAAGAATAAGAAACAAAATTAAACCAGAAATCAGCGATTAACAATGTGGATTTGTAGAAGGAAAAGGTACAAACAATACCATATACATCCTAAAGACATTGTCAGAAAGAGCTATAGAAGTAAAGACTGATATGTACTTGTGCTTCATAGACTATACAAAAGCATTTGACTGTGTGAAGCATGAAGAAGTGATCAAATTGTTAGAAAAATTAAACATTGATGGGAAAGATCTACGAATAATAAAGAATATGTATTGGCAGCAAACAGCAGCTATAAGAATTAACAACTGTTTAGGTACATTTCAATGCATAAATAGGGGCGTACGACAAGGATGTGTACTGTCACCTGATTTGTTTTCAATACACAGTGAATATATAATGAGATCTTTAAATGATATGCCCCGAATTATGGTTGGTGGGCACAATATAAACAATTTACGTTATGCTGATGACACAGTCTTGATAGCAACAAGTCAGAAAGAACGACAGGAAATGATAGACATTGTGGTGTTAAAAAGTTGAAGAATGGGCCTCAGTTTGAATAATGGGAAGACAGAAGTAATGGTGGTATCAAAGGATCGAATTATTCCTAAATGTATAAATAAAAGTCGATGGTATTATTTTAGGACAAGTACAGACCTTTAAGTATCTGGGCACATGGATAACATCAGATGGAAGATGCATAACTGAGATAAGAAACAGAATAGGACAGGCAAAAACTGCATTTTACAAAACGAAAAACATCTTGTGCAATATATGCTTGTCATTGAGAGTTAGAAAAAGAATTCTTGCTTGCTATATACATCCAGTTTTAACTTATGGCTATGAATCCTGGGCAAAAAGTAGGCAGGCCAAACAATTTCTTGAGGCCTCAGAGATGTGGTTTTACAGAAGAATGCTTAGAATACCTTGGACAGCCAAAAAGAGCAACCAAGAGGTTTTAAAAGAGGCGGTAGCCCGAAGACAACTTATCACAGACACCAGAAGGAGACAGTCATCATTTTTTGGCCATGTTTTGAGAAGAGGGAAAAAAGAACATGTTGTGACCACTGGTAAGATCTGTGGAAGGAGGGATAGAGAAAGACAACGAGAGAAGATGCTTGACAGTCTTGTTGCATGGCATAGAGGTGTGGCGACACACGAACTGATACATGCTGCAGGAGATCGCAGATTATGGAGAGGCATGATCGCCCACGCCAGTCGTCAAGGCACCTGATGATGATATGTTTTAAAGTTTTCTCACATTAGCGGGTGTAATTTAAAACAGTAGCTTCCCCTGGACTTTGTTTAGTTTATGGCCTCATGAAGTCTAAATTCGACCCTGGTACAAAGCTTATCAAGGCGGGGAAATGGGTCCTTGACTAACTTACCTTTACCAAAAGGGGAAGGATGAGTATTCACACTTGGTTATTTGATGCTGACGCCATAACTTTAGACCCATTAGCGCTCAGTGAGCAAGATATTTTTCAAAAACTTAAAACAATGTTTTTCTGTTGCAATTTTAAATAATGTGGACGCAAACAAGAGACTGCACGATTTATTGCCTGGTATTTTCCTGGTATCTCATCAGGTACAGTACTATAAAGTTTCCCCATTGACAAAAATAACATGTTGCACAAATATTGCCTAGCACACATCTCAACCAGCCATGGAGAAGTTCAAAAGAGAAAAACAAAATATCCAGCTAACCAAGATTGATCTCCCAAAAAAGAGCAACGGAGGGTAGGGGGAGGGGAGGGGGAGGAAAAGAGGGGGGGGGGTGGGGGGGGGAGGTGTTGAGTTCTTATTATAGAAGGATAACTCGGTGCGAAGAAAAGCGAAAGAAAATCGCATCACTGACTCCCCTTCTTTCACTGATGAAGGCTAATCGCCGCAACGTTTTTTGTTTATTCTTTGTGATCGATTCTGTAAAGCCGGCATAAACTCTTTGTTATTTCTTATCCCTTTTCTTCCCTCCCCCTGTAATTTCCTACCCTTTTAAAAACCTTAGGAAAGATGTATCTCGTCAGGTGCGTTACTACAAGCGGCTAACAAACAATTTTCTGGCGGAGAGATGTACAATGTAGCTGGACAATGTGATGTGTATAGTTTAATGGGAAACATGCATATTTGTGCTTCACTAAATGTTGATTTCAAACTGTAGAAATGCACCTGAAGATACAGTAAAATATGCCAGAGAAAAGGTACGAATAATACTACTCCAGCTTGCCTTTACTTCAAACAAAAAATTTCTCTCTCTGTGAGGGTGTGTGCGTGTGTGTAAGTGTGTGAGTGTGTGTGCGTGTGTGTAAGTGTGTGAGAGTGATGTGAGTGAGTGTGAATGAGTGTGAGTGTGTGTGTGAGTGTGAATGTGTGTGTGTGGATGTGTGTGTGTGTGTGTGAATGTGTGTGTGTGAATGTGTGTGTATGAATGTGTGTGTGAGTGTGTGCGTGCGTGCGCTTCTAACTAATCCAAGAGGATTGCTACTTTATCACATCAATTCTCTGAGAGGTGTTGTTTTGGTACTTTTAGTTCCACAAATATATTACTTTGCCTCTGTGAATTCGAAATAGCAATTACTTTACCTATCTCAGCACCAAAGAGTAGTGACTCCGTTTGTTTTGAGAGAGAAAGAAAAAGAGAATTAATTTACCCAAATTTAATTCCAGACAGTAATTACTTATCTTCCAGACAGTAATTACTTTTCTTCCAGACATTAATTAATTATCTTTTAGACAGTAATTACTTATATTCTACTCATCTACTTGGTAGAATAATGATACATGATAAGGCAGACTTGGTTATGGCCTTGTGTGAGAACGTGTGCAGTTTTCACAATTTGGTGAGACTGATGCAGAGGAGAGTGACGAGGGGGATCTGGTCGATACTCGACGCTAAGAGGAAAGGCAAGACGGACGTATAATCAGAACGCTACTGACACCACTGGTATTGGAACTCTACTATGGCTTCTGAAGATGGGGACGGAGAGCTTATGGAAATGCCCCGAGTTCTGTAATGTCGGTTCTTCAATCAACTCAACTCCACATCCAAAGAGAAATTACTTTACCAAAATTCAGTTCCAGACAGTAACTATTTATTTCCCACAGCCCCAAAGAATAACTACTTTACCTAAATTATATTCTCGACAGTAATTACTTATGACCTCCAGTTCCCAAGAGAATTACTTGAACTAAATTCAGTAATTATTTCAGTTCCAACGAAAAATTACTTTACATAAATTTAGCAATAGACACTAATTAACCAACCCCTCTAATTCCCCCAAAAAACTTTATCACTTAAATTCTATCCTGGGCAGTACTTACTTATGTCTAGGGCTGTACCGGATAGTGATTTTCACTATTCGACCGAATACGAATAGCGGGACCAACTATTCGGCTGAATGAGAATACGAATAGTGAATAGTGTATAAAATATATCTAAAAAAAAAAAAAAAACACACACACACACACATTCATAATGTCAAATGTACGCTTAAATTTTACTTCATATAAAGTAGCACAGAATAGTCATCTTCTTCTTTAGCATTCTGAGCCCTTTGGGTTTACTGTTGCAGATATCACCCGTCTCCATTCATCTCTCTGGCTGGCCTTATCTTCACAATTTGTGACGCCAGCTGTTTGCAGGTCTGGCTGGACATTATCTCTCGAACTTCTTTCTTGTCTGCCTCCTGGTCTATGCCCATCAATGGTGATTTAAACAGATTATGTGTTACGTTGTTGCTTCTCACTCTCCATTCCCCGCTGTTAGCATCTTTGATAGGTCCAAAGATTTGTCGTAAGACTGTTTTCGAAAACCCGTAATAAGGCCCCATCTCTTTTATTGCTGTTTTTAGTTTCAAAGCGATATAAAACGACTGGTTTTATCAAGGTTTTATATATTTTGATCTTGGTGCTGCGAGACAGACTTTTGACTTTAGATGTTGAGGGCATAGTATACTTTTTTTTCTAGATTGTTTCTAGA